GGGTTTTCCAGGAGTTCCAGCTGTATTCAAAATGCTTTATTTCATGAGTTTGGAGGTGATACGTGATTGTGCTTTGTATTAGATTTTATATCTTTTTATATTTGTTCAACATGATAAATGTCAAAATGTTAAAATAAAAAAAATGATGTCCTGTAACAGAAACTTACAGGTGGGAGATTTTATTATCTATACAGAACATTTTCCTCTTGATGCATTTTTTTCTTATTTGACACACCAAAGAAGAATGTACAGTACTGTACTGGCCAAATTATAGCCAACAACTATATCCATTTCAATCAAGAAGGGGAGTTTATTGTGAATTAATTTATGTGTGGCTACTTTTCTTCCTACATACGGTCTATGTAAAACTATGGATTTATAATTTTTCTTATAGTTCCACATTAGTGAGCCATTTCACCATATTCAGTAATGAAAGCATTATCCGAATGTCTCAAAAGCTATGTCACGAGTATACCTCCTTGTAAAAACATTGTTATTATTCTTTTGGCTGAGGTTGGGAGATTCAGAAATTATCTAGAGGACTTTCAACTGGCTTGAAGATCCCTCAACATCTGTAGCTCCTTTCACATGAAACAACCCTACCCTTCCCAGTTGTATAATAAGAAAGGATTCCTCAGGCTATAGACCCCAGATTTCTAAGTAATTTCACCCTTTAAAGTTTGGATTGTCACCTGTAGCATATGATCCCAGATGTTTACAGCATTTATACCATGGTGAGGGCTATTCGAAAGATATCTGGAAGATTTGTGATGTACTGTGCTTTGCAAGTTTGGCAAAACACAACTTGAATCATTAAATCCTAAGTAACAGTGACTTAGCAGCCCACCTGGTGCCCACAGTACACTGCAGCTCTTTCAGTCTTCACTTGACAGGTACATAGAAACCTTCCGAGCATACACCTCTAACTGGGCATGTACAGTGGTACCTCGGTTCACAAACTGTTTTGGTTCGCAAACAGGAGTGTCTGGCAAAATTTTGTTTTTGTTTGCAAACTCTGCACTGGATGATGAGCAGGAGTGCAGCCATCTTTCTCATTAAACACAGATGTGGGCACCTGTTCCAAAATCATAGAACAAATTAAATTCATGAACCCAGGTACCACTGCATTTAAATTTTTTAAATAATAAAACAATTCATGTGAAATATTTCAAATATGGAGAAAATATATTGAAAATAATTATACTTATCCACGTCCGTAGATGTTAACTTTTTTCGATATTTCATATAATTGCTTTTAAAAAATAAAAACATTACAGGCCTTTTTTTTCTTTTCACGGTACTGAGGTGCTGAAGGTTGAACTTTGCACATGTAGGCAAAGGCCCTCCCAATGTGCACCCTGCTCACATTATGGGCTTTTCTGAAGACCCTTTTATTTTTCATCCCTTCTAGAGAAATCACTTTCTGAAACTGATATGATTTCCATGCTTGTTTTTAAAATTTGCATAACTGGTTTACATCAATAAAGCCATACTATACATACCCTTTTGTAACTTCCTTTTGTCACCAAATATTGTTTATATCTATCCATATTCACAGATATAAATACAGTTTTTTATCTCTGAATAGTAATGTTCCATCGTATGAATAAGTCATAATTTATTTCTTCTTATACTCAGCAATTTTTTTTTCTAAAGTTTTCCCTATACGATGCTGGAGTGAGCATTTTTGCCATTATCCTTTTCTATATATTTGAATTTCTGGGTGTGGTTCTTAATACTTCATATCAGATACTCTTTTGAGACTCTGAATCATATAGATCCCTTCTCAAAATGTTTATAAACACATATATAGGAAACAGTTTATCTTAAAATAATTATCGAGTACTTTAAAAAACCAGATTTATGATAAAATAATATACATGCTTCCAAATCACATCTATTGGTAACTTTACCAATAAATTTGAAGTAGTGCAGAGTATAAATGAAATTTGAAGATATTTGGAGTATCTATGATTTCTGCTGGGACAGCTTCATAAATGAGGGACATTCTAAATTTTAGTTAGGGGTGATTTTGCTTCCATCCAGGTTCACAAATTATACCATTCATCCAGTTTTATTGGTCATGTACATTTTGTAACTGACATAATCTTACCCAACTATTTTAGTTTTCAAATTGTATTAAAATAATATGCTGACGTTGATTATGTTCCAGGTACCAAGTTTTGCATACACTGTTATCTCCTGTAATCTTCACAGCAACATCAAGAAAGAGGCATTAATTTTATCTCCATTTTACAAATAAGAAAACTTCGCATAGGGAGGTGAAATAACTTACTCGTGGTTCACATAGGTCCACGTGTTCAGGAGCTAAGATTCAAATCCTAGTTGCCCAATTCCAAGATCCACTTCTTCATTACCAGGTACACAATTCATATTTCCATAATTTAAAGAAATCAAACTTTTCACTATATTAGTGTCTAGCTATTGAGTAAGCCAAGGTGATTACTGTACTTTACTTACGGCCATACAGGGGAAAATTGAGGATAGGTTTAGCATTAAATATCTACTGGATCTTGAAAACTTCATAGCAAGGAAAAGTCATAGGTTATAGGAGATAGTGTGAAATATACAATTCTGGTCTAATTCAAATGTATCCTCAAAGTTCAGTGCTTAGCTTATGTAAAAGATAGAATGTTTTCATTTTATGGAGGCTTTGAATTATGTAAGTAACCAGCTTTTCCCCCATTTCTATTGTTTTTCCTATAGCAGGAAATCCTAGGGCCAAATGTATTGTCCCTCTATTGTAATTATCTAGATACTGTGCATGTGTATAGTGGAATTTTTTGTGTTAATGCTGTTATCCTTTTCTTCATTGTTCCTCATTTTAAATTTATATCTTCTTGCTATATTTTATGCACCCTTGTAAGCCATGGCATTGATAAATACACATATTTATGTGTTTACATATAATAAACTGATGTGGTAGGCAAAACTCTAAGATGGCATTCAGTGTCCCACACCACTACCGAACACTCTTCCTTAGTTAACCAAACATGAATCTGGGTGATACTTTGCAGGCATGTTGCAGATACAAATAAGGTCCCAATTAGGTGACTTTAAGAAAGGGAGATAACCTGAGTGCACCGGACCTAAGCAGGTATGCCTTTAAAAGGGACTGGACCTTTGACAAAAGACAGTCAGTGAGAGGGGTCTGCCTTGAGGGAGATTCTCTTTGCTGGGTTTGAAGATAGAGGGGGCTCCCTGGTAAGGAATATAAACGGTTTGTAAGAGCTAAGAGCACTAAATGAGACCTCTGCCCTGTAGCTGCAAGGAGCTAAATTTTGTCACAATCACTAGAGTTTGGATGGGAATCTTGAGCTCCCAACAAGAACGCAGCCCAGCCAACACGATGATTTTAGCCTTATTGTAAGCAGAGAACTTGGCCATGTCATGCCCAAACTCCTGACTCAGAACTATAAAAGTGATACCTGAAGCCTGTAAGTTTTTGCTAATTTATATCAGTAACAGAAACTAAAACAACTGAATTTTGCTTCACAAAATTACAACTATTATTTGTTAAATATTTATTGATGTTAAATCCACATTACACCAGCACAACAATCCAAAGTAGTAAGATAGTACTTTTTTTTTTTATAAATACAACATAAAAGGTGGCAAAATATTGCTAGTTAATCCCCAACCCAGCAAATTAGCAAAAAAGTCACATTCAGAAAAATTTGGCAAGTTACCTATGACATAAACCATAATTCTACACTCTATGTAGGTCCATGAGACTCTGTATGTTAAACTCCACATTAGCAATACATGTAAGTGTGGCCAAAGAAAACGGCACCACACTGCATAGAACATCTGCCACCCGTGCTCGATAATCATTTAAAACTTGGTTGGTTGGTGTTCTTACAAAGAAGTAGAAAGCTGTACATGTGAAGCAGTAATATGAAATATATGGGGTGGTATACAGCTATAAAATTATTTTAAAAATACTATGTATGAATTGAGTAACTGAGCTAAGAAAGTTCAACACTTTTATTATAAATAATGAAAGATAATATGTGTTTTGCACAAGGGATACAGTGTTTGTTTGTCCTAGCAAAGTACCATTAAAGCCTCATGTTTTCTACTATTAGGCCAAATTATTTTTTCTCACTGAAAGATTTTGTTGGTTCCGACTTAAAACCATCAAGTCTGGTCAGAATCATTTCATTCTAGCGGATGCAGAATCATATGCATTCGAAAAGTGGTCTTTGCAGAGATGCCTTAGAAACTACTCGGAACCTAGCACCTTCGTAAGACAATCACTTCTCAGCCTTTGGAACTTTTTTTTTTTTTTCTTTTTTTCCTGGTGCCGGGAATCGAACTTACGACCTTGCGCTTGTCAGGCAGGCGCTGTGCTGCTGAGCTAAATCCCCAGCCCCATGAGCCTTTTGGCTAAGATCAAGTGAAGACAGTGTTTCACGGCAGCAGGTAAGTGAACTATTTTCCATTCTCCATGTCTTCAGGCCAATGGAAAAAAATACATCACAGCACAGACCTGTTTGTGTCTCTCTTTAAGTCTCCACTTCTCTCAAGCAGACCAGCTCCTGCAGGCAGTTTCTCATTTATGCCACTCTTGCAGTCTCACTCCATTTTCAACTTGCTCTACACACCTAAAATCCTCAGGTACCACACAAACTCCAGATACACTGACATCTCGAAAGCGCGTGTGTTCCAAACTTCTGGCTGACCCTAGATTTCTCACTTTTAAATGGCAGTGTTTGCTTTTTGCTACCTACATTTTAAGATTAGTTTTCAAGAAAACCAAAGAAAAGTCTGGCCTTTGCCACCTCTCCTGCCCCTTCTACTTTTATCTAAATGAATACAGTGTAACTATGCTGGTCGTTTTTTCCTTCATTCATCCCCTACTCATCCCAAACCTGTTTCCTCCGAATACTGCATACCTTGGTCATCTGGGTGGTTCGGATACCTTTTGTGGAATGGACTGTAATACGTTTCTGCTTTACTCAGAAAGCTCTGTATTATTTATATTTAAATTAGCCTTTTAATATGGTTTGTAAATAAGCTTCCTACCAAGGTGGCATGAAAAGAAAATACTGCGCAAAAAAAAAAAGGTTAAGAGCTAAGATAGTACCCTTGTTAGAAAACTTTTGAATTAGTAAGATTTAAGGCAAACAGTTCCTTCTTTATGATTTAATATAAAACAGTTTGCAAAGACAAGGCATTTACTTGGATTTCTTTGTCATGTTCTCTTCCTTTTTCATCCTTAAATATTGCACTTGATTCACTTGAGCTGTCCGAATACACTGCGCTGTAAAACATTTCACACTACTGTGCTACACAGCACCTATAGCTTGTGTTTAAAGGCACTTGTAGATAATGTAAATTGTTATCACTGATTTCCTTTAACGTTTTGGCATTTCAGACCACTTTAATCACAGCAATTCCCAGTTTTAAATTGGACAAAAAATGCAAATTTTGTGTGCAATGTGTACATTTCTATAAGCATCACCTACTTAAACTCTAAGTTTGGTATAACAAGTAAGAAAAATATTATTTTGGTGTTTTTTATTTCTTATACGTCAAAGTATATTTCTGCCTTTCACATAATGTGACAGAGAAACTTGTTGGTCAAGGCTATGGCTGTCTCGGTGTTTCAGCTTTAACAGGAATACTGGATTACAAGTCCTCGCTCTCTACCAGGCCTGTATTCAGCGTCAGGTGAGATGGGCTGGCTTCAGGTTGGAAGGCTGCTTTGATGTCTAGTCCCTGGTCTGACAGCGCTGCGTAGCGACTGGCTGAAGGCCGCACTTTTTTCGGCTTGGTGGTCTGTGGCTGCTGATGCCACTGGGCTATAAAGGAAAGAGAGGAAATTAAGATTTTTAACAAACACATACTTGGAAATCTCTATGTGTTTTAAATAAACATAGACTATCTATCTTTTCTCTATTCTTTTGGTACCAGCAATCAAACTCACGACCTCGCGCTTGCCAGGCAGGCACTTACGCCACTGAGCTGTATCCCCATCAACACAGACTATCTTTCAACAGATACCAGGTACATACTCTTTATGAAGAGCTGGAGACATCCACGGTAGAGAAAGAAAATTTAGGGATACTTTTGCGTTTGACTCATGTTGCATATTTACTGTCTACACAGGTTGGTGGGATTTTCAAGAGTGGGGCAGTAAAGACCTGGTGTAGTTCATCTTTATTTTCAAGCAATAGTGCAGCACTGGGAATCTTCTGAAATAGTTACGCTTCCTAATTCTCACTCCGCCACTTTTAAAAACATTTTTTTCTTCAGCAATTATAGTGGCTAAGCATCCCCGATGGATGTTTTAGCATTAATAAATCGAAAAGAATTGGGCAGTAGGGAGGGTTGAGGCCACTCACTTACTGAAGAACCTCTCAAAGGTACCTTTTCTTCAAGAAGAGGTAAAATTTGAAATCTGTTCCCAATCATTTTGTATGATTAATCATTTTGTTTCCCTATGTCAGGGAATCACATAATACTACTTTACTAGTTTAGAAATTCAGTAGGAACATTTAAACAATAGGATGAATATAATGAAATACACAAACACAAATCTATTGCTGAGATGCTTAAGATATATTAATGAGAAAAGCACTAAGCCACAGAGGTATACATTCCGGTATCAATAGTACACACACTCCAAGTGCATTAGGACACTGTGACAGGATTGTAATATACAAGAAATGTTAAGAGACAGTCGCTTGCAGAACACAGTAATATGAAAACGTGACAAACATTTATGCCTTTGTCTACTGTTAACTCCCAAGGATGCTCGAGTAAGGAAGCCACAACTGACTATGTAAGAGAAATCAACATGCATATCTTGCTAATAATTCAGAATTCCTGAGTGATACTTGGGTATTTGTTCTCCTGGTGGAGTTTCACTATTAATGTCGAGAAACTATAAATAGAAAGAGAAAGAGAACATGAGTTTTTCTGGTAAATAAAATGCTATCATCGTTTCTAAGATTAGCCAAGAGTAATGTGATTTGCTGTCCAGGTGTCTAGTCTTTTATAATTCAGCGAGTCACTGGGATGAGGTGGCACTCACTGTAAACATCCAGCCTGGCAGTGCAGGACACAATCCCTGCTTCGTTCTTGGCTGACACAGTGTACCACCCAGCGTCTTCTTTTGTAGCTCCCTGAATAAGCAGGCAGATGTAGCCATGGTTATCCTGGTGCATGCTGGAGGAAAGGATAAAGTCATTAGGGCTCTGAATTTTTAAAAAGTGGCTTTGGACATGAAGCATCATTTTTAATTAGGTCATTAGAAACAGAATTGTGCACGTAGCAGATAATGGGGCCCTCCTTATTCTGGAGAGGATGCTAGCCCATTAAAGTTAATGGGGGAGAAGAGCAGAACCTCAAGAGGTTGAATAAATCTGTTCTCTTAATGTCTCGTTGGTCTGCCTTTACAAAAACCACTGAATAGGCCATCACCACTGAGGCAAATGAATTCATCTTTTCTTTTGATATGAACATTTAAAAGTCATTGCTAGGATAAATCAGGGCATGCTTCATTACATACTAGTGTAGCTTCTTTCAAAACCCTTAAAGACATATATTTGGGTCAAGAATGATTTTTGTCTTTGATATCCTCAGCAGCCTGGCTTTTATATGACATGGATTTACATGCTATATAAAATATCTCTTTTTTTTTTTTGCATATCATTTGGATGAAGTTAAGTCCTTATGTCGTCTTACCTCACTCGGTCAGTGCTGTGGGTGAGCGACTCATTTTCTTTCTTCCAAAATATCTGAGGTGGCGGGACTCCTAAAACACGGCATTCCATCCGCACTGGGTACCCATCAGCAACTCCTGTGTTTTGGAGCTTCTCAATGAACACAGGAGGTTTGTGTGCTTCCTTAGCTAAGAGAACGTAAGGTGAGTTCTCTATCAGTGACACACAGAAGGAGCTCGAGTACATCGGTGATATACAAAAGGATATTATTCAGAAGGCTTTAGGAAGATCGCTTGAGTAGTTCTTTTACGATACCCTTTTTCGTTCAGGTAGTAAAATGCTAGGTCCCTGTCCAAGTTACTGTTATCAAGCAAAGGTTCATATACCTCATTCCATTCATTTACTTCCTCAATTCAAGCCTTATAGGCCCACACGGCCCCCGGCCATCTGCTGCACAGAATGCCTGTGTGACAGGTTGCGGGAGCCTCTTAAGTGATTGCTAGTATCTGTGATGGCCTCCCTGCTAATTCATCACCACTCATCCAGTCCTCACCAACTACCGCCGCCTAGTGATGCCAACGAGAAGTATTTCTTGGAATTTGATGCATTTAGATTCCTTCACCTCAATGGGCAATGTTTGCTTTAAAGATTTTGAAGGTTTAAAACCCCCTGGCTTCAGTAAGATCTAACAAAGGATTTAAATGGGGGAGAATCACAGAGGGGGCGGCTTCATCTAAGTTGGCAGCTTTAATTGGTCACCTATAAACTAGGAATGTGCCTTTTATAAATTACAGACTCTAATTTGTATTTTTTATTAGTACATTTTTGTAGTACATAACGAGCACATTCATTGTGGGTAGGTGGTACATGGACTCGACACCTATTAATTCTTTTACGTCCCCTTCCCCTCCCTTTCTCCCTACTCCCAATAGCTCTTAGCCCCTTCCCATTTGTAAAGCAGTATCGCTCTATTTCCTATTGTATTTTTTGAAGAAAGCTATAAAAAGGTAGCTTTCTTATGACCTTATAAGGAAGAAGCCATAAAAAAGAAAATTTCATTGCTTAGAACTGATTTTTTAACACTGGTTATTACCATCCAATGACAACTTTTCTTGGGTCAGTGGTGGAAACGATTTTAGAGAGAGAATAAGATTTAATAATTCTCTCCTGAGCCACCAACAATGATTTTGACAATGCATGTTTTTCTCCATCACCCACCCCCTCATCTGGAGTGACAAAAACATCACAATAAAGCAGGTTGGAGAAAGAAAGAGAGCTCAGAGGATAAAAATTCTACCTGAAATTTTTCGATGCCTCAAAGACTCTAAGACCTTGAGTAATTAATATAGAGGGTTCTACTTTTATTGAATTTTACATGGTCACCTGACCTTGGCTATTTTGGGGAAAGTGGGGACAGAAGGTCATTTCATTTTGTTTGTGGGTTTTAATTTTGAAAAGAACTTGAAGTACTTAAAAATAAGCCTTATCACAGCAGCCTACCACTAAGAATAACACGTATCACTTGGGAGCACTGCTATACCAGGTGCTGGTTATGCGGAACTTCCTACACCTTTTTGTGACTAAATTTGTAATAAAAATGATGCATTTTGGTCCCCATTTTCATACAAAGAAAGTGAGATGCTGAGGTACATTTGCCAAGGGTCATACAGGGAGTCAGGCAGACATGACCGGGGTTGGAACTGAGATCTGATACCAGAGGCCTTGGTTCCTATTACCGTGCACTGCCATCTTCTGACAGAAGTGCCGAGGCACGCCAGGATATCTGCGTGTCCTAGACCCTCAAGTCTCAGCCATGAAGGACAGATATGATCACAATGCACACTGAATGGCAGAAAAAGAGTTCGAGATTAGAAGAACGAATGAAACCAGTCCTGGTGTGTAAGAATGTGGAGTACTTTGCATATGATTTAAAAGCACGGCTAAAGTAACACCACAACCTACATATTCACACATTTTTGTGTGAAAAGTATTTTGGTGCCATCCTTAGAACCATCATGCAGGATTTTGGCCCAGACCTCTCGGGTTTTATTTTCAGTACCACTCTATTGAAGAAGTTCAGTGGCTCACGGTGTATTTGGATGAGCACAAGGGACCAACAGAATGTTTTGAACCTCATCCTCAGTTTATTAAAGGAGACCCTGAGAAAGGAGATTTGCTCTGTTTGTGTCATAGAGAAGTTATGAGGACTGAGATAACATATATGATAAACTTTGTAAATAGAGGTATAAGAAATAAACATTATGTTTTGTTAAAAAAAAGAGAGAGATCAGTTAATCAGAATCTCTACTTATGTCTAACTCCTAAGAACGGTATAAATCTTTCCATAAATATATTTTCCTTTCAGGCTTCTCAAAAAAGAAGGCTTCATACCACACGACTCGTACAGTACCACTTACATTTACCTACGGTGCAACTGATTAAAGAGAAAATCTGAATCTGACCACGACTTTGGGTGTAGAAGACAATGTTGTCTTAAAATTTTGAATTTTAAACCACTGCACATTTGGTTAAAAACTAGGTCTGCATGTGAACTCTCTGAATAAGCACATTCTTTAGTAATTAGAGCCTCTGCGGCTGTTCTTTTTTCCCTGTGAAATACCGAGGGCCATCACATACACTAGCATCCGTATGACCTAGAAAAGTTGCTAGAAGCCTTTCCCTCTTGGGAATGTTCGTGGAGAAAGGAAGAGTAAATAAGAATGGTTACACTAAAGTAAGAAAAATTAATGTTTCTGACTTGCTAAGCCTTATAATTTGTCCTCATGAGAGATCTTGATAATGCAATCTATTTTGTCAGCAGTTTGAATTATTTTCCATACTGGCTATAAAATGCACAATTACTTTACACCTGCAATCTGACATTCACTGTGGCAGAGAGAAAGGATTCACTGAGGAGCCTACCAGCAACCACAAGCTCCAGGCTGAACGAGTTCTGTCCTGCTCGGTTGGTGGCTATACACGTGTAGATGCCGGCGTCCCGGGATGTGACTGGCTCTATGATCAGAGAGTGCACGCCATTTTCCCGGACGAGCATCTTGTGAGCACTGTCGGGGCGTACTGGCTTTCCGTCTAGTTGCCAGCTTAGATCTGGGGTTGGTAACCCACTGACCTAAACCGGAAAGGAAATACATATAAAATTCTCTGTTAAAATAGAGGGAAACAGCCAGGCGTGGGGCAGGAGGATCACTTCAAGTTCGAGGCCAGCCTGGGCTATGAATAATTTCAAGGCCAGCCTGAACTGCATAAGGAAACCCTGTCTCAAAAAGACAGAAGATAAAAAAAGAAGGAAATCACTGATAACTCAGAAACCAGCATACACTCCTTCCTTGGTAGCACGAGAGGCAGTTTTTAGAATCAGTGCATGTAGTCTTTTGTTTAAAACCTTCCCAGGGCTTCCTCCGCATTCAGAGGTTCGCTTTGAAACATTTTGTACAGAACAACCTAAGGACAAGGGATACGAGGATTAAAAAAATTTCTGTCATCGCCTAACCTCACCCAGGCCTATAAAAATTCCTGGGATGAAGTCAGCACCAGCAGCTCAGCAATTTGGAAATGAAATGTCCAACCATAATAACAATAACAAACACTCAGCCGCGTTTATATACTGTGAAGCCGCTCTTTCAGGAGTGGCCATTGCTATGGAGACATTAGTTAACGCATCCATCAGCACAGAGAGCTATTATTATTTTATAATCCTTGAAATTGAATAACAAAAGCAATATAAAATTACCCAGAAAGCCATCTCAACAAATTAGCATCACAATGGAAACATCATAAAATCTGAAGAGCATGACAGTTGTGCTGTCCAGATAACAGATAAAGCACATTTAATTGCAAATAGCACGTCACACTACTAAGGGTAGGGATGGTCGCCATCTGCCGGCTTTACAGGGTTTCCCTCGATTTTGAATAGGACAAAAGCACTGGTAAGGCCTTTCTACCTCCTTTTCCTACAATTTTACAAGTGGGAAATTATATACAAAAAGATGTCTGTTAGGCTATGAAACAATTCCTTTCAAGGACGAGCTTTGCCCAAATCAGCCAGAGAACTCACAAATTCCATGCTGTTGTATATGTATTCATCTATATCAACTGTAAGATGCCTCCCGCACACATAGCAAAGTGAGTGAACAGAAAAAAGATATTAAAATTACGGGTTTAGAGGATGAAGAGAATTTGCAAACAAACAGCACGTAGGCAGGCAACTTGGTGCGCTGAGAGGCTGGGCTGTGTGCTGCCCTGGGTCCACCGCCAGCCCTCCGCGTGCGCTGCTGCCCGCAGGTCGCTGGGAGGGGTATGGAGGAGGAGGAAGCAGATACTTCGGGTTATGCTCCACGTCTTGCCCGAGTTTAGAAATGAAGTGGCAATGTTTGTTCCCACTCAGCTACGTGAGAGCCTGGACGAGGTGGGCCGTCTCCTGACTGAGGCCATCGTTTCATTTAGTAGGTGAGTTGCCCCAAACTGTACTCTCCCTAGTTCACAGAGGATCTGTCCGAGGGGGCAAAGTTACTTATCTTCAGGCAAAGGAAAACGCCCTGTTGGTTTAACCTCAGCCTTCCTGGCGAGTAAGTAAAGAAGCATGATCTCAGGAGACAAGGGCATGGAAAGTGGGTCACAGCTGGAACACGTCTGTGCTTTTGGTACACACAGAAGTGGGGGAGAAAGGAATGTACTTGTTTCTAGCGGGGTGGGAAGAGTTCTTTGCCCTAAGATTTAGTACCAAGTAAAAATACGGTGTCTGTGAATGTACTCATGGGCTGGGGGTGGGGAAACACCTTTTGGGGAAATGAGCTGTTGCTTGTTGATCTTCTCAAGGCGTTTTTCTTTCTCAGAGTTAAACACATTGGGAGCTTTTTTTCTGAAGCAGGAAGCACCCTATCTGTTCACAGGGCAAGCTATTCACGTTCTCTTTATCCGGGTCAGATCATCAGAATTAAGTCAAGTAAAGGTTACTTTTGTCCCCAGTATTCTTTTGAAGGCAGACTGTTCAGGGGCATTTATGTCTCTGTGCACTGAAATCAAGTATTATGATTTCAGGCTTAAATATAATCAAAAATAGATATAACACTTTGGCCAGTCTCTTTATACCTATCATTTAGATCCACTATCATAGCTTATTATTTTAAAATAAGTGGAAGATTTTCTGTAATTTTACTCCAATGTAGTTAAAAAAATTGATTTTCTTACATAATTCCATTTTTATATTTGAAATTAATAATAATCCCTTGGTATCATCTAATAATCTATCTAAAGTAAAATTTCTCCAGTTATAAATGGTCTTCATGAATTTTTAAAATGTTTTTAAAATTTACTTTTTAAAAATTAAACGATGTTCATTTTTTCTTTTTTTATGTTTTTGAGACAGCAGTTCAGGCTGCCTTGAACTCACTTTGTAGCATAGGCTGGCCTCAAATTCACAGTGATCCTTCTACCTCAGCTTCCTGAGTGCTGGGATTACATGTGTGTAATCCACACCTGGACAATTTATATTTTGTATAGCAACTGTTTTGAAATATGTATATGTTATAGGAAGGTTAAATTGAGCTAACAAATTCATCACGTCATATGCTTATAATTTTGTGGTAAGAACACAATTCTGCTCTCTTAGAGCATATCTGCTTTCAGATATAGAGCTACTAACTGTACTCATACTTTATACAAGACACTTTCAGTTGAACTTCCTTCTAACTGAAATTCTATATTGTTTGATGAACGTCTCCCCAGTTCCCTTCCCTTCGCCCTCAGTAATTACCATTCTCCTATCTGATTTTATGAGTTCAACTTTTTAAAGTGAGATCATGCAGTATTTGCCTCTGTGTGCCTGGATTATTTGTTTCTCAGCATCAGTCATGTTGTCACAAATGACTGGATTTCTTTCTTTTTAAAGGCACAGTAGTATTCCACTGTTGCTATACTTTCTTTACCCATTCATATGTTGGTGGACACCTACATTGTTGTGGATAATGTTGCTGGGGACAGGAGTGTAGATATCTCTGACACACTGATTTCAGTTCCTTTGGATAAATTCCCAGGAGTGGGACTGCTCATTGTATATGGTAGTTCCCATGAATGAATTTTTAATTAGAGGCTAAAAAAGGAAGCAAATACATATACTGAAACTCAACTTGTTATTTATACTGTAAAATGAACTATGTTTGAAAATAAAATATTTTAAAGAATACTTTCTATATGTTCCTAGAACCCCAGATTTACTTTTTGAAAAACCAAGTGCCCACACCCTCTAACCCGCTTATGCCTATTTGTGTTCTGCAATCCCAGAGAGAACCAGCAGAGGGAGCCCAAATTATTTTTTAAAATTATCCATATTTAAGATCAGCAAATAGGGCAAAAAACAAACAAAAGAACACACACACATTAAAAAAAAAAACCTTTCAGAGTAATAGTCCTTAAGTATTTTTTTATTTCAAATTCCTCTAAGAAACTACTGAACACACCCAATTTTGTATATAATTTCAGTGTCCACACCCCTAATAAAGCCTACATACCCAAAGACCCTCAGTTAAGAAGTCTTACGGTAAATAGGAGCAGGATGGCACTTACTGATCTAGAGCTTGCATGTAAAAAGAATAAAGATCACCTAATGATTAGGACCCATGCCAGACTCATCACATTTACCAAAAAAATGAAAAATTTCCAATGGTTCTCAGGAATATGAATATGGAGGGTTTGGAATAAAAACACATTTAATAGTAAAAGAAAAAGCATAATGAAAAACAGCATGTAAATACTCAGTATAGTTCACTCTTTTTCTGTTTTGCTGGAATCATACTTTACACATAATTTTCCCAGTAGGAAATATATAGAAATAGCAGTGAAGGGAGAGTAAGGCAATAATTTGGCAGGCAGTAATAAACTCTTACTTTGCAATCCATCCTGCAGAGTTTTCCTTCTTGAACAGTCAGGTCTCCAGGAGCCTGCAAGAAGTGAGGTCTGAAGAATCGCTCTTGAATTGGTTCATTTTCATCTGCACTGTCCCTTGATCTAGAGCGAGGCCTTGAAACAGGACATGATAGGTAGATGAAAATACAGACAGGCAGTGGTTACTCACAGGGTATTCATTGTGTTTTCTTTCCTTATCCAATACCTGCCCCCAAGATTTACATACAAAAAATCACAAAGGCAAAATCTTGTTTAATTTCAAAGTGTGTGATAAATATAACAGTTTGCAAAATGCAAACAACTATTAACCACAAAGGGGAAAAAGTAAAGGGGAGTTTCCTACAAATGAGTATATTTTTTGTTTTAAATATTTTAAAGCCTTATTGTAGAAGTAGGACCAGCTTTTGCTCATTTGTTTAATACCAATTCTTTTTCAACAGAAGTTGTTATTAACTTTCCACTGTGATTTCAGTTTTGCAGGGAATTGGAAGTGTTTATTTTATGAAAACTTAATATATTTCAAACAAGAATTCCTTTTCAAACTAAGAAAACAAATTACACTTTTAGGCAAATTTCCTTTTGCATTAGTTATCCATATGCCTAAAAGCATTGTTTTTTTGCTTTCAAAGAAGATTGTGCAGATCGCTCAGATTTTGTGGGTTTCTTCTACTTCTAAGTGTGCTGCGGGAGAAACGCAAGTTAGTGTACTAGCAGGGAAGACTTAAGAAATGAGCACGGTGCTGAATGCAAATCAATAGAAGAGAGATTTAAAGACACGACTGGAAAAGGCAGGATGGAACAGATGAAGCAAATAAAAGATTGCTCTATTAGTGTAATAATTATCAGTGTTTTAATGTAGTTTACTTTTCTCCAAATGCAGGTCTAGTGGACGACAAAAACACTTGTAGGACTCACTGATGTACGGAAAAGCTTAAATGTACCGAAGACTATAAGAAAAGTAAAAGCGAATAATGCAAGACACTGGGGCTAATATTAAATATGTTGTGTTTACAGTCACAGACATAGGCTGAGGATCCTGGGAACAGACACTGCTGCAGTAAGTTTAGAATTAAATCTGCACCCACGCAGGTGCTTGTCCCCCACAGGCCTTTTCGCATCCGGTCCCATGAGGTAGGACAAACACACTGTTTGTCGCTTACTCAGTTTTTCTGCTTACGCTCTGTGAGCTTGTGTTTCTCTTCAAGAAAGGCGGTGTGCATCTGCGGTCTGTAAATACAGTCAGGACTATTTCAGGCTGCTCTGTAAACTACCTAAGTAGGAACCCAGCTTGACAGACTGGTTTCATATTCTGTTTTTTTTTAAGTGCAAATATGTTCCTAAGAAATAACATCCTCTCTCCCTGTCTGCCATTCTTCTGTCATCACTCTTTCACAGACTGAGGGCTCCTAGGAATGGCAAGTCTGCTCCGCAGTTAGCAGACACTTGTTTAAGCATTTAAAATGCAACACTCTTACCTATAAGATTGATGACCTAGTGGTGGTCTTATGTTCTGAATTACGTGATATGAAAGTATACATTAACAAACTAGCTGAGTTTAAGAAATCTAGTGGCAACTGTTAATAAGTCTGCTGGTTAGAGATTGGTGGGATTTTGAATATTTGTGTACCGTTTACTAGCGTTTCCGTGTTTACGTGCTGTCTAAAGGTGCCGGGTCTTATTTCTTCATACAGAATATGTCCTACTTAACAAACTGATGATAACATAGCTGAATGCGCTCAGCATATATTAGCAAATGTTTGTTCCCTTGCATTTTCTAAACTGCAAAAGAGACAGTAAAGAACACACTTTAAAGTTTGTATGGATACTGTCTTCTACTTATGTTTATATTTATGATCATACTACGATTCTAGTAGTAGTGAATTCATAGTGATACATAAAGAAGCAGTAACACTTAGGGAAGGAACATTTGAAATACCTTCTGACATGCGGGTGGCCTGAGGGAGAGCGCGGACTGCGGCCTCTTTGGTTGACGGCCTGTACCATTAGCCGCCCAGTACAACTGACACGGCCCTGTCGAGAAAAGAAATAATTACTGTGCAGAACTGCTAACCATCACGTCTGTTGTCCTACTCTAGAAGACTTTACTTCATAACAAATCAGTGTGCCATTAGTAATAAAATCCACCCCTCTCAGAGAAGAACTTTCCTAAGTTAGTTCCCTCAGTAAAACTGTATTTACTTGAAATCAGGTGAGGGAGTCTTTCTCTGAATGTTAAATAAGCTGTTCTTCTCTATTCAGGATGATACTGAAAATGATACCTCTGAATTAACTGCAGTCGGCTAAGGCCTCCTACAGTATGAGGTTGACTTGTAAAATACAGCAGGAGGACATTATTCTTGTGATGATTCTATTTCTATGGTCAAATATTTACTAGTTTTGGTCAATCTTGAAATCAGAGCTAGGTGTTTTTAGTTTCCTGTTAGATGTTTTTAGTAATACATTTATTAAATGTTAGTGACATCCCTTCCCCAGAATATATATTAAGGGATAGCTGCGTGACAGAATTAGCATTATGTAAGAAATATATACACAGGACGGCAAAGAGAACATCACAGCTAAATGACACCATGTTCTCATGAAGTGAATGTGTGTGAAATTTAAAAGCCAGAAAGAGTTAAATACTAAAATATGTGGTCATGTGACAAGGGTCTAGCTAATGAAGCTACACTTCATCTCTTATTAAATTTACCCATTTAGTATTTCCCAGGATAGACAGACAAACATAATACTTAGAGGACCCGGGCGACATGGATAAGTCACCCAGTGTTGCTCTGGCTTTTGGTTTCAGCTCCTTCTTTTAATTTTTTTCTTCATTATTACTAGCAGAGTAGCAAAACAGATTAGGAGGGCCAAAAAGTAACATAAGAAGAGGAAAAATGTACAGATAGACCATTAATGATTAGCCTTTGTGAATTCTAGGATTGATAAACAGTCCTTGTATACACTTAATTCAAAACGAAATTCTATATCGGCTTCCATTTTCACTGCAAATGAGCATGGTAACAGAGTAGGGGTGAGAACACTGGAGCGTGTTTTGAAGAACCGTTTTCCATCTGAGGTTGGCTGAGGTAGCAGGAGCGTGAGCAGAAGCAGAGCGAACACAGTAGGTTATCACAGCAGCACACCTCCTAGTAGGATTTGATAAAAGGCAGGAATCCGGTCAGTGGCCCTTTCCAGGTCTGCCAAAGGCCAGACTTCTTTAGGGCCCTAGTCAGCCAGAAAAGGGGAGGGGGGTGGCTTACAGAAAAGTTCTACAGAACAGAGAAGAATTTGGAATTACCAGACAGAAAGAGTTGGTAGCAAAGAAATGAATTTAATCTTATACCAGATCCCTGGTGCCCGCCAGCATTCACAGTATTTACTGCTGAGGTCACACTGAAAATACTAACTTCCCCCCAAATATCCGAAGAAAAATCAATACAACATTATGAAAGAGAATATGTCTAAATTCGATGAATTTTATCTGAGGCTCAGGCCCTATGACACAGGTTCGGTTATGCTGAGCTCTTGGCAAATACTTGGAATTCCAGGAACAAAGCACTCAGTTTGACAGCAGAATAAGTGGAAAGTGGATCCACCTTTAACTTCTGCTAAGCACAGTCATACTCCCTGGGCTTGTTTCTGTGATGGCTGCCATCGGAGGCCTAAGATGGGAGATGTTCTACTTTAACCACCGGGCTGTGCTGAGATTATACCCCACCTTCTCCTGCGTTCTCAAGCAAACAAAACACACACACACACACACACACACACACACACACACACACACCAGGGTGTACAGACTGGCGTACTACGAAGGAGAGATTACTCATTTCTACACTGTTTTTGAGGTTTTCATTGCTATAGCTCAGAACCATACGCACAAATATTGATACAGACTATCTCCTGAACCTTGCAAACTTAAGAAAAAGGAATGCGTTACCATTTGTAGTCTATGTACTCCTACACCACCCTGTACCCCCAAACGTAAGGACAGAAGGCATTATTAATTTCGTTAATATTATGTTAGTGGCTAAATATATTATATGTACATGTACATGATCGGGAGCATTTTGAAGGTATCCAAACTAGGAAGTTAGGTAACTTTGACATTTTTATTTGACAAAAAAATCTAGAATTCGGTGAAGCAGTTTTGAAGATGTCTTCAGTGTTCAGATTTTTTTAAGTCTGAACATCTGATTTAGAATTAGTGTTACATGATTTTAATCTATGTATATGACAGTTAACTGGAATAATCATCCTGATCAGCAGGCTTTTGATACTCATTACTGCTGTTGTATTAGCTTCTAACTCTCCGATCTCTATGTTTCACTAACAATAAAGTAATAATGGATCAGTGTCTTTTTTTTGTCTTTTTGAGACAGGGTCTCGCTATGCAGGTCAGGCTGGCCTTGAGCTCACTTTGTAGCCCAGGCTGGTCTTGAACTTGCAACAATCCTCCTGTCTCAGCCTCCCAAGTGCTGGGATCACAGGCGTGCACCACCACGTCTGGCTGTATCAGTGTTTAAAGTGAAGTTTGAGGCTGGGGCTATAGCCCAGCGGCATAAGTGCCTGCCTGGCAAGTGCAAGGTCCTGAGTCTGATTCCTGGTACCAAAATAAATAAATAAATAAATAAAGTGAAGTTTGAAGTAAGCCAGGAGATCATGCAATGCTAAAACAAAACACAATCAACAAATTAACTTTTCTGCATTTAACTCAGCTCTGGTACTTTTTTCCTATTCTGACAGATCCACAGAGTTTAAAACTATAGCACAAGTAAGAGGTTCAAATTGTTAAACTGATTCTATTTTATTTTATTTATTCATTTATTTATTTATTTATTTATTTATTTATTTTGGTACTGACAATTGAACTCAGGACCTTGTGCTTGCCAAGCAGGTGCTTGTGCTGCTGAGCTATATCCCCGGCCCGACTGATTCTACTTTAAACAGACAGCTTGTAAAGATTATTCAGTGCCTCATGCAAGGCCTATTATTCGTGTAATATGAAAATAACGTTTATATTTCATAGTTTATGAGCTGGACTTGTGGCACGCAGGTCTTTACGAAGCTTGCCATTTGTATACATAATGCAATTTGAAGAAACATCCAACTGCAGAAGAGCCACTCCATAATCCAAGTGCAATACAGCGTAACTTAGCAACACAGCAAAACAAAGTGAAACATTTGTGTTTAGACTTAGCTGTGTCCTAAAGACAGGATTAGAGTCTAAAATAAACTGTTTCTGTGATCCTCGTTTTGGCATTACGATTAGTGTAAGACTACGCAGTCACTCGTTATTTTGCTAAAGTATGGGACCACTTTGGTCTCTGATGAATTGGGCTGCACACACACTCAGTATGATCCCCAGTCCAGTATACATTTGGAGCTGTGGGTTCTATCCCAAATAGAATCTGGATGCGATCAACAATATCTAACGTGTTTCTTTTTCCCAAAAGATTAACCCAGGTGGAAAAATATCACATTCTATGAAATACTCTGCTGAACTTCGGGATTTTCCTCTTTCCTTGGTTCTCGCCCTTTGCTTGGCTGCTTTCTGTAATTCTTTTCCTCTGCTCAGGAAAGCTCTGCCTGCTGTTTCATTCCTGAGCTAATTCTTCCGCTGCGGCCTCTTCCTCTCTCCCTGTTCTTTTCACGTTCTATAGGCTGCAGTGCACTAGGAAAGACAGAGGTAGTTGCCTCCCTTCCAAAACCAAGTACTTTTAAAGTTTGAAAAAGTTTAACATCACTGATAGATCTCAAACATGCAGAGTCACCTTTGGTTTTCAGTCAAATATATGCTTTCGCGATGAATGTATCTTTGCATTTAGCTGTTCTGAGTTTTTAAATGCCTGCTTATGACCTTCTTCTTTTAAATCATGCTTTAATTCACAAGTAACAAGAGCAACAAAAGACCTCAATATATAATAACATGTTATAAGGTTGAAATTATGACCACGTGAAACATTTCTTTAGTGACGTGCCTACAGCCACAAATAACTTATGCCGAAGGTTAGGCAGAGAAATGGCCGCCTCTCGTCCTCGTTTAAATGCCACTTTTGTTCAGTGAGTAATAAAGTTCATTCCAGTATCTCGATGATGACTCACAAATCCTACATCTGTCACATCTGGACATACCTACTGCAAAGGACGCCAAGGATGAAAGTTTTGAAATTAAAAATCAACAAGGCAACATGTTCAAAAACTTGGAACAGACAGTTACTACTAAATAGCATAAATATGCAGTTTCAGTGGGTAAACTGGTCCACTTTTTATACCTCTGTCTTCTCCCTAAAGGACAGAAGGTAAGAACTACAGAGGGCTCACCTGGGGGGCTTCCCTGCGATTGGGCAAAGCAGAATTGCTGGGGCGCAGGGTCAGCGCAGAGACCGCTGCTCTGGCCTCTTCTGGCCTCGAGGGTGCTGGGAGCAGAAAGCAGCTTCCCAGTTTCACGTGTGGCCGGGGTCAGCTGTGCTGAGGGTGGGGCCTGTTCTCTAGCTCACAGCTTCCTCCACCCAAGCCCACAGCTGTGGCAGTGTGGCACAGCCACATCTGCTGCCTAACTCCTTTCCCACGGGGGTGATAAAAGGGAAAGGCCGGGAGGCCAGAAGACCACACACCAGCAGTGTGCCGGGTAGAAATTCCAAGTGGACTAGCTTACACTAACAGCGCCGCGGGGCTGGAATACCTGGGAACGGAACGGATCCTTCACATCTCCTCTCCACAGTCAAGTCTGGGGGTTGCTGTTCTAAAATGAGGTAGTCAGTGTCTGTGAATTAGAATAAAGCCAACCACTAGCACTTACTGAACGTGGATGGTGTGCTAGAGAAGCTGAGTGTTTTTTACATGTACGCTTTAAATCCATGTTATGTCCACTTGTGGAGGAGGAAACAGGCATAGAGAGGTGAAGTGACTGGCAAAGGTCACACAGGTAGTGAGTGGCAGCACTGGAACTCCAACTCCTATCTGTCTGATGTAGGGCTTATGCGCTGTGTCCGTCCTTCCTTCCCTTTGTCCCTCCCTCTTTCCCTCCCTCCTCCATTCCTTCCTTCCCCTCTCTCTTTTTCCCCTTCCTCCCTCCTCCCCTCTTTTTCTTTTCTTTTCTTGCTCCTCCTTCTTTTCTCTGTTCTCCTTCCTCTTCTCTTTCTTTCTTTTTTCTTCCCTTCCTCCCTCCCTCCCTCCCTCCTTCCTTCCTTCCTTCCTTCCTTCCTTCTTTCCTTCCTTCCTTCTTTCCTTTCCTTCCTCCTTTTCCAATGTTTACAAAGGGATCTTCTTTGGGTGGGGTGGAGGGCTCATATACAGAGATTTGGGTAAGAGTTCAGTGACTTTGACACTTTTATTTTAATTGGCACATTGTAATTGTATATGGGTAACAGTGTGATATTATTATACACACGCACACACACACAGTGTGGACCAACCCAAGGGGGATCCTTAATGCCCCGATAGATGGGACTCCATTATAGTTTAAGTGATCCGACAATACTGACCCTTGAGGCAGCCTGACGTCTTAACCTTTACTGCCACTGGCTATGAGCACTGAGGTCTTCCTCCTTTCGAACTATCCCATATGTACAAATACATTAGTGTGATTCGAAGAAAAAAGAACCAGACTCATAATTACAGTTTTACATGCATGTTCTTTTGTTCTGCAGAGTGGCTTATTCTAATAACAATTTAAAACATGCTAGGAAAATATGTCTTGAAATGCAGCAGGAACCCAGTTCTGGCAAGTACTAAAGGAACACAGACAATTCTGTCCTCATAATAAATCTCAGCCTTGTCAGGGGAAAAAACAAGACTCGACAAAAATTTCTGGATTTTGTCACACCCTCCACTTTTTTTTGTCGTACTGGGCATGACACTCCAGGCTTTGTACATGCTTGGAAAGTGCTTTCCCCTGAGCCAAGTCCCCAGCCCTTTTTATTTTTCTTTTGGAGACAGGGTCTCACTAAGTAGCTCAGCTGGGCTAGAACTCAGCCTTACGGCATGGGTCTCCTGAGAGCTGGATTACAGGTTTGCCACCTTACCTAGCCGTTCATTTTTTTTAACAGCAGAAAACTGAAAATTGCAATTTGTTAAAAGTCATAGAAACATGTTGAAAATATAGTAAGTGAATGAAAGCATTACTTTTTTTCCCTTGAATTACATCAAATATAAGTACAGCTTATATGTGTGCAACTTATATTTGATATGCAAATTTGATACGCAACTTCATAGAAGAGATTATTTTGACCAATTTCAAGGCAATGATCATGTATTTATTGATTACAAAATTATGATCTCAAGAAGGTGCATTAATATGGAAACTTTTTATTGACAGTCAAGAGTGTGCTGTGCTCTTTTTGTGATATGATAACATGGATAATTCGGATTTCATTCAATTACTAGTAGTGCAGAAAAATGTTTATATGACAATGGAATATTAAAAACAGGAAAAATCTTGTACAAACTTTAAAAGCTTACAAGTTTTGTTATAATTACATGATTTTTCTTTTAACAACTTTATTGTATCATTTTCTAACACAGTATTTTCTGTGAAAGAAATAACGAAATATGGAGTAATATAAATAGGTCCAGAGGGTTTAAAAAGATGACTTCGGGACATCTTCATTAGTTATAAAATTGTTAGTCTTAGCTTTAGAAAAAAAAGTAGTAGATGACTTAGACAGCTTCTGCAGACTTCGAAAAATTTCCCAGTCACACACTGAGCTCTTAAGGCACAGAAGTGCTTCCTACTCGTGTGTACCCTGCACCCAGCGTAGTGCCTGAAACATGCACGATACGCAATAGCACAGAATGTGTGGGTTTCAACTGGGAGCTCCATACGTAACAGCCTTCTTCCAAAGTCTAGGAAGGCAGTTAGTTATTCATCCTAAATCTAAGGACAAATGCAAGACAAAACATTTGAACCAGGCACAGTATTGCATGCCTATAGTCACAGCCTTTCTGGAGGCTGAAGCAGGAGGATCACTTGAGCCCAGGAGTTCGAGGACTAGCCTAGGTCACATTGTGGGACCCCATCACAAACAAATAAGCAAACAAACAAACCCCTCACAATTGTGTTTTATACAGATAAATGCTATGCACATGACATTATCAAAATTATAATTATTCTGGTGAAGGTGGAATTCTAATGCTTTATTTCTGGGCCAATAATGTTTTTATGTATTTCTTAAATATTTGATTTTGTTTTTGTTTTTGTTTTTTTTTTTTAGTTTTTCCACTATAACCTATGTATGTGCCACTCTGTATCCTTTCTTCTTTATTTTCTTCATGGAAAGTAATCCTGCCTAGAATTCTGTTTTATTTACTTGTTCGCTGGCTTAATTTCTACCTCAGGACTGTCCTGCCCACCTTGCCACTTTATAGCCTCCAGCAGAAACACACCTAAGAGCCCCTAAATGTGTGTGGCAGGAATGCACATCTGCATAGGCATCATTCCTACAGAAGAATGCCTGATGGAATAAGTAAATGTTCATGAAATAGGTGTGAAAAGTAATTAATAAAAAATTTAAAGATAGATTTTTTTTTTGTAATCATCTGAAAGCAAGATGGATGAAGAATTTGGAAAAATAGCTTTCTAAGTGAAAGAAGTACAGCTTCACCTTTTAATGAAATAGTTCCTCTGTGTAATCAAATGCCTGCAAGCACTCCACACAGAAGAGAGCCCAACCCTCTACCCTGTTCACCTGAGGGTTGGCGGCCATGATTGTGTAGTTCCCATCGTCCTCTAGGGTGGAGGCTGAGGTATGAAGAGAGCAGGTCCCATCGAGATCTCTCTGAATGGTGTAGTGATCACTCTTGGGAGAGATCTGCTTCCCATCTTTAAACCAATAGATCTGTAGAAGGAAGTGAAGATTAAAGATTAAGAGTGTGATTTGCCTCTAGTTGGAGGACTAATAATAACAGTGTGGTCTGCTGAACTGATCTGAGTTTTCATGTTAAAATATTAAAGCAAACACCTGAGTAGGAAACTGATTTAAATGAAAAAAAGCAGACAGCAATTGAGTTCAATTCTTTTTCAGTTTTAAAAAGTCATGTATCATTTTTTGTTTTAAAAAATATATATATGAAATATAAATATATCTTTTTGTTTTTGAAAATACAGTATTTACTTCATTTATTATTTATATGAAGGATATGTAGGGAATTTTGGCAGTGATCATTTCTGTGAAGTAGCATTAGAGGTTTTTTTCTTTTTTCAAATGTACTGGTAATTAAAATGTGTTGCTTTTAAGGTAAAGGTAAAGAGACAGTGTAAAAACAAACCCTAACTCTAGTTATTCTACTAAATTGTGTCAATAAGTGTAGCCTGGAGGGAGGGAACAAGTAGAGGTGGGGAATGGTTGGAACTCTGTTGCTTTAATTCTGAACCAAAAAACATATGATCAAAGGTCGAAAGCTTTACACTAAAGAAAACAGCATTACTGAACAGCAAAGTACTGTTTAGAAAGGAGAATCAAAAGGCCAGTGATGGTGAACCTTTTAGAGCTTTCAATGATACAAGCAGCCCGCTGTGGCACGTGTGCCAGAGGTTCGCCACCACTGGATTAGGTTAACCTGGGTGAGGGTGTGTCCTAGCTCAGCAAAGCCATAAACAGGGTTATACTTTTCCCCAATTTAAGTGAAAAGGATAAAAAAGATGAGAAGTTGAAACCCCAGGTTTACACTATTACATGATATTGAGCCAAAAGCAGAAAAATTAATAGGAAGTTTGGCTCTGGGTGATTGAAACCCTTAGCTTCCTTTCAGAAGCATACAAACTACTCCCACATGGGACACTTCCACAGGTAGGAAATGCTACTACACATTAGTTCACAATGAAAAACTAACAAACCATGTGAGGAAATAAACAACACAGACAGTCAGTAGTACAAGAAAGAAGAAAATAGAGGCCCAAGTATTGTACATGTTGAACAATTTTAAGAAACTCTAAAGTCAGTATTTCAAATCACTAAATTGTGAAAAGAATAAAAACTATAATGACAGGATAGTCTAAAAATGCAAATTTGGGGAAAAAGTATATAAAATGAGAAATATACTTACTAAAATTGTAAGATTAACAGTGATGTCAAAAAATGAGTGTAGTAAAATGGAAGAGTGGAAAGGGATACTGTATACTTGACACTTGCAGGTTCTAAATCCTATAGCTTCATGCTTTTTTTTTTTTTTTTGGTACCAGGAATTGAACTCATGACCTCGCACTTGCCAGTTAGGTGCTGTGTTGCTGAGCTACATCCTTGGCTTCTTATGTTGTTTTGGTCTCACAATCAGGTTAGTTTTAAAAACTAAATTCCAACCACCGAGTCAGAGAAAAACAGATAAAGAAAATGGCTTCAAATTTTTAAACTCATATCCACTTTCTAATAGGATGAGACTTTTAAAATAAACCCTGATGTTATAAAAAATCTTTTTTACCATATTCTTTGCATAATCTGAACATTTACCTCTGCTTGTAAACATAGGAAACGGTGGTTTTGTAGACTAAAGACCTGGAGTTTTTATCACTAGGAGCGAATATTACTTCTTTATGGTCCAAAGCACCAAGTTCATGTCCAAGTCTGGTCACTTACCAGCTCTGACCTTGGGAAAGTTAATTTCACAGAACTCTAGTCGTGTGTAGTTTGAGAGTAACGGAAGTAGATAATGGAGCTGTGTGAAGAGCTCCTTGTTATTCACTTGTTCCTGTTCTATTATATTCTTTAAATCTCAACTCCATACTCCCCAGCCTCCAATTCCTTTTGGTTTTCTTGCTCCATTCCTCCCTGAGAATTGAACCTAGAGCCTTGAGCATGCAAAATGGGAACTCTACCACTGAGCTACACCCCAGCCTTGTTGGTTTGGTTTCTAATGTCTCCTTAGGTGGCCCTGGACCTAAGAGCACTTTAAAGATTTTATATCCTGAATATTAAGAGAGCTAGTCCATATCTCGTCTATCTACATATCTGCTATCTTTCAGAACCTAACTTTTGGGCCGGGGATATAGCTCAGAGGCACAAGTGCCTGCCTGGCAAGCTCAAGGTCCTGAGTTCAATTCCTAGTACCAAAACAAAACAGAACCTAACTCTTCCTTAAAAACTGAGGCTCTGGCTGTAGTTCTGGTAGGACTGTGAAAGTCATTTGCTGGAAACTTGGCTCCCGATATAGACAGTTAGGATGTGAGGCCTCTGGGAGGTGACTGGATTCTGAGGGCTGTGCCTCAGTAGTGGACGAATCCATTCATGGATTTTAATGGCTACTTGGTTAGGAGAGGAATTTTCAGTATAAATGTGAGCTCTTGCACGCTCACTTTGTCTTGTCATGTGATGCATTTTTGCTTTCTGCCGTGAGTGCGAGGGGTACCAGGCCCTTGCTTATGTCATGCTCATGGGCTTCCCAGCCTCCAGAACCATGAGCCAAACAAACTTCTTTCTTTATGAATTACTCAGGATCAGGTATTTTGTCACAGCAACAGAAGACGGACAAAGACAACGCTTACAACATCATGTTTTTAGCTTACCTTAGGCTTTGGATTCCCAGCCACTCTACACGTGAAGGTTACCGGCATTCCTTCAAAGATCTTACAATGTTTCAGCTTCATCTCAAAGAAGGGTGCCATGCCGCTGTCCACAGGCACATCCCCATACTGCATGTCATCGCCTGACTCGTCCACGAGAGACCTCTCTAGCCTGTACTCTATTTCACTTATGAGTCTCTGCTCACAGCTGGAGACTTTGTATTCCTGTGTAAAGCAGACAAAGCTCAAGTTAGCGGTCTCGCTCCCTTGTGGAACAGCGTGTCTCCTCAGTCTCACTCCTCTGTCCAGAGAGGCACTGAAAAGTCGGTGGTGTTCTTACCACAGAGCTTAAAAACGTAGTCTGAGCCCAGTTCAATTCCACAAAAACAAACAAACATCTGGAAGTGAGTATATGTGATATTTCAAATTGTCTTCAAGTCCTTTCATCCCCCCCAAAACCTAAAAAGATGAGTTCCCCCCTCTTCTCTCTCGCGAGGGGGCTGGAGGGGTGAAGGGAAGAAAGAAGCAAAGACAGTGTATTCCTAATCCGTTCATGAAAATAAAACGCAGGGGAACACTGATTTCCTTCTGCAGGGTAAAAGCCATTGCAGGGTGGTGCGCCTCTCCAGAAGGCTAACATACATGTGGCAAGCAGCTGCAGTCTTACACAGAATTTTATCAAATGAATAACAGAAAATAGGGCACTTTTTTTTTTTTTTGTAACCCATAACAACCCTCCGTCTCCGAGAGGCCCCTCCTTAGCTCTGCTGCTATTAGGGACACATCTCTTTAAAAGCAAAACAGGACTGAGTCTGTAGTCCCAAGTTGGGTTAAAAATATAAAAGCAAAAGCAAGACACCATCAACATCCTATAGTGTTTTCGGTGAGTCCTACAAAGTGCAGGACATGAACAGGGGCAGCCTGTTGCAAAATATTCCCAACCAGTTTTCTCTCCAAGAAATTATACTCTAAAAAGCAATGTGTTTATTTGAAGGGAGAAATACAGCGGTAAGGATAAACCTGTTAACAATGTACTACAAGTTAGTTTTGTTTGAATTACTGTCAAATTAATCTCTTTAAGCATTGGCACTGAGTTTGACCCTGGTCTAGACAACATAGTGAGAACCTGTCTCAAAGTAAGAAAAGTAAAAAGGGCTGGGGGTAAAGCTCGGTGTGAAGTCCCCTGAATTCAATCCCCAGTTACACACAAAAAAATGAAAGTTCAGAGTATTCACTGAAGTCAGAACTACATTGAAGTCTCTAAGTAAATGACAAAAAATTATAGTAACTTTTGCTAAACAAAAACTGACAGTGATTATGGCATTTATACTATATGGTAGTACAGGCGGACACACTTAAGAAGGGGCAGAAAAATGCAAAACAAAGTAAAAGCAGACACAGTGAAAGACTTGAAAGAAGGAAAAACTTAACCTTTTGTCCATCCAGAGGACTCCCTACAGAAGCATGAGACCCAACAGCCTGCAAAGGTAGAAAAAGAGAAGTGAAGAGCAGTAATAGAAATAATGAGACCTAGTAAGACTAGTTTTCCTTCAGTGAAACTTTTGTGGTATTAATATTTAACACAGAGAAACCCTCAGATTTTGAAGGAAGACCCATTTCTCAACAGATAGGGAAAAGAATTGATTCGATACTTATAAACGTTTTTGTTTTTGAGCTTGACACTACATCTGGAAACTCCAGAGGCAGTAAGGGATTATAAAGCAGCACACATCAGCTCCATGAAAGGATTTTTTAAAGCAGAGGAATAAAAATAGCACTTTAGTCTTTTGCTGATTTGGTGTTTTATAACTGTACATGTGAAGGAAGATAAAGACCATCAATCTTTTCCCTATATAGATATTTTACTTTGGCTAGCTATTAAAAATATAATGGGAACTATTTACTAGCTTATTTCAAACAGTGAAAATATTTTTCCACCCGAAACTATTTTGTATTAAAGCAAAGGAGAGAAAAAATACAAAGCCGGCTGAAAGTAAACTGGTTAGTAAGATAAAAGAACAGATATTACTGATGGAAATAATTCTATTAGTCACTTACTGCAGTGTTGTGCACATAGTATTCATTCAATAAATATTAGCTATGAGGTTGACTGATGATATTAATATGGATTTCCTGTAAGTTGCTCTTTACTTTTCACAAAACCAATCCCAAGGATAGTGTCCAAGAAGAGTGAGGGAAAAAGGGGCAGGATGGTAGTTATTCTTCTAAGACATCCAGAACAACACAGTACCTGATTAGTCACTTCTTCTTCTGGCTCCTGCATATTAAAGACAGTTGCACTGTCAGCACCGAGCAGTCGACGAGCCATTCTTTCTTCATACGTTAACCTCTAAACATAGGAAGTCAAGAAAAACACACACAATTAGAAAAGAAAGCACAATTATATACTGCCTCATGCGAAAGAGTGAAAGAATGAGTTTTGATTTTCCTCTAGGTTCAGATAGCTGGGTATAAAAGGAGTACAAGGAGCCCGCTCCTTTCCCTTGCTTTCTGTTCTATTTTTCTATCTCCTCTGGCCTTCTTGGCCTAACCAGTGTGGGGAGATGAGATAACTAATCCTGGGAACCACCAACTGATACAGCATAAATTTAAAGTGAAAGACAAGCCACAAGGCAGAAGATGTGTCATTCTTATCCTTTATGTCATCTTATCCCTTAAACCAGAGGCGGGGGTGGGGGGGCGGGAATATATTCAGACAGCAAGATATGATAAAGGAAATGTTATTTTCAAAGCCATCCATATGCTTCAGAACAGTAAAGTCATCTCCTCCAAGACCAATAGACACGGAAAACAAAGCTACTCAAAAGGGGAACACATTGATCTGTAAGAAGATAATAAAGAACAGGCATTATTGACTAAAGTTATTCTACCAGCCACTTAACGCTGTGTCTGGCATATAGTATGTGATCAACAAATATTAGCGAATGGAGGTATTAGACCAACTGACAATAACGGTCCTTTTTGCTTTTTTTTTGGGGGGGGGTAGGTGGGCCTCACCTCTAAGAGCAGTTCCTAAGCTACTGTATACTGTAAGAGAATAGAGGCAAAGATTATAATCCACAAAGAATGACTGCTCATGGCTGACTTAGCAACAAGATGCTGAAGGATACAGCCAAACCTGACATCCGTAATTCATGACTCACAAGCAAGCTGTTCGCCTATCAGGAAGAAAAGGGTAGTGTTTTTGCATCTAGCAAACAGCACTCTGGAGTCTGCCAAAACCGTTTTGCTAGGCCATTTTTACTCATAAGAAACGCCTACAGGCTTGTTCTGTCAGTTGGGGGACTCTTGCTTTTGAGTGTTGGTTCTAATGAGCCTTGAAATTACAGATCTGGGAAAGACATTTCAGAGAATACCTATTCAGTCAGGGTCATTTGACAGACAGGGGTTTGGTTAGAAATAGGGAAGAATTAGTAATGCAGAATCTAAAAAACAAAAAGTGCAACAGTTATTTGAGGTTTACTTCCAAACTTCTGAATATAGATGTAAATTCTATTGGAAATTTTCTAATCAGGAAAAAATGTTGGGTAAATATACAATTTCCAGTAATTCCTGGTTTGAGTCCCAGCTCAAACCGGGAAGTGAAACAAATCAAGTGCCAAACAGTCCTAAAGTTCAAATTATTTCATTTAATAACAAAAAGACGAGGGACAAGAAGAGGTAGAGATAAGTGTAGAGTGATACGTGGAGTGATTTAATATGGGATACTAACGTGTAATTTGTTCAAATCTATTTTTAAAAATGAGTGAATTCAATTTTAAGTGCTCGCTGTCTTAGAAAGCATTCCTGATGTTCCTGTCGGGGGGATGCCTGGAATGAATTACCCTCTGTTCACACAGGCAGAAACATCAATTTGTTATCTGTTCCTTCATTGCAGTGAACTTGCTACCATTAGAAGCCAGACTTACTTCACAGATTTCTTTTTTGTGGGTGCAGAAAAGTTATTTTACTTTTTACTGAATTTTAATTTTTATTCACGAATTTGTTTCTAAAGCAGTATGCCATGTGAAAATATAAGCCTTGTCTAAAGAAGCCAAAATTAAGTAACAGATTAATAGTGTGGTATTAGGAAAAAGTTATTTGAAAACCCCATTTTGTAAAACGGGAAACTTCTTGTTTAAGCTCTCAAAATTGGAAATCTATGAAACTTACTGTGAACATAACTTACTGCTAAACAAATACATATAAATACACTTAGTATGGTTGAATAGAAGCTTCTAGAAGCCTTATAATGAGAGCACGTTAGCCCATCAGGAACATTTAAATAAACAACCAGAAAGAAGAAGGTGGGAAAAAAAAAAAGCTGGAGAGATGCCTCCACCTGGCTTGAAAAAGTTCCCTTATGTATTTGTTTTAATCTTTCAAAGACTCTAGCTGACAGAGCCAGGGCAAACTTCCAGAGTGTGTACATTTACACATGCAATCACTTATTTCAGGGAGAAAACATTTTCCTTTTGGGAAGATCCACAGCGAGTGAAATGAGTAACACAAAACTCATGCAAATTTTAATCTTCCTTAATGAGATTTAGATGCTCCAGTAATTAAAATTAGCATTCAGCATCCCACCTCTCTTCTTCACCTTTCCAATCAAATGTGGTCTGTTTTCACATCTTTATTTACCAGTGCTTGATAATTAAAATTCCCAGAAGACATAGTTTATACAGAGATCTTTCTGTTCTGAAAAAAGGTGACTGAGGGGCGAGTTTTATAGGAAGAGCCCTCATATATTAAAACCAAAAACATAAAAAGAAGGAGATGAACACCTCTCTTCTTTTGCTTAAGAGCCAAGCAGCTTTCTCTGGCAGAGTTCCACGATAAAGCTACGGCAGACTCTTCTCCTTCACCTGGTAACTGTTACTTGCTAGACTTGCTTTTCCCATTCCCTTAAAATACTCTGATGTGCTAAGAGCCAGCAAAAAAATACAAAAACTGATGAAGAAACATGTAAGTTCAGTGAGGAAAGATCACATATATCTTCCACCAGATTTATGTATGTACTCTACAATTCTGCAGCTTTAAAGCATCATTTTTTCAAGTTTAATTATCTTGCTCTGACAAACTACAAGGGTGTGGAATAGGTATTACCTTTATATCTTTTTTTTTTTTTTTTTTGGTACCGGGACTTGAACTCGGGACCTTACTCGGGACCTTGCCAGGCAGGCACCTGTGCTGCTGAGCTATATCCCCAGCCCTGGCATTACCTTTTTAGATGGCTGAACCAGTACCTAGTCATCGTCTGGTAGGACAGGACTGAACTTCAGCAATGGTTCTCTGGTGAAGATTTTGCGGGTAGAAGCAGTATAGGCTATCACATCCAAACTCTGTTTTGGATACTTTATTCTAATTCACTGCTTCTGGGTACAGAAGATTCCACACACTGTCTCCCTCATTCATACACCCTACGTTCCTTTTCTTGATAACAGGTACATGACTCAGTGTACTCTCAATCCTAAAGCCTGCCCTTCTTTCTTCCTTTATCCCCAACTGGCTGAGAGATATATTGAAATTCTGGGGTAATGAAATAATTTGGTGGACAAATCTCAAGAATCTGAGTCTTAGTTAACTAAGGTGAGAGATCTCTGATGGGGATAGCTCATCTCCCAAGTCCACACCCCGAATCTGTCTCAGTACCGGCTGGCCATTGTTCAGGAGGTCCTCCTTGAAGCGAAGTTTTCGTTCCAGGTCTTGAATGACAGCATCCTTTGTGCCTTGGATCTCCTCATCAGAGGCTATTCTAGCAGTTCTACTGGCCTTCTTTGGAAATCCCCTGCAGGACAAAAAGCATGAGGTAGTGCCATCAGTTTGTGAGGCATATAAATGTAAGTCAAACATGTAAGACCAACAAAGAGACAGTACAATGGATCAACATGTCATTCCCATTCTGTTTTTTCTTTTTAATGCTGCATCTATTACAACTCATGGAAAACCATCAAATTTGGTTCCCGCAATTCCAGAAGCATGCATTGGAACCAGTTATTAGAGAAGGTTCAGAGGCCTCGGGAAGTACACGATGGCCCTATACTGTAGTCCAGGGAAACAGCAATGGAAAGAGAAAGTTGATGGGATTTGTAATCACACCTAACTTTAACACTGGACTCTAGCTTGTGTCAGATTTGTAAGCTTTGGCACTTTGTTAAAGTCTCTTACAAAGCAAGCATAAAAATATTTACCATATATAGATATGATGAGGATTTCTAAGAGGACATATTTCTTTGATACTTTTATTCAATTTTCTGGTCCTTCATAATCGACTTTAACAACAGTGGCCACTCTATTCTAAAAGAGTAAGAACATCTCTTACCCAAAATGCTGGGGACCAAATGTGTTCTGGATTTTGGAATATTTCCATGTACACAATGAGATCTCAGGGATGGGACCCACGTTTAAACATGAAATTTATTTGCTTCATATCTATCCACACACATAACCTGAAGGTAATTTTATATGGTATTTTTGGCGTACCTGCATTTTGACTCTGACCCATCACACGAAGTCCAGTGTGAAAACTTCTACTGTGACACTGTGTTGATGTTCAAAATGTTTCGGATCACGGAGCATTTCAGATTTTGGATTTTCATATTAGGGTTGTTCACCCTGTGTTAAGTGTCTTCCCTTCCCTCCCACCCCTCAAGTATCCTATCTGATTGGAGTAAGCCAGTGTCTGACTTAATGTGAGTTTTTTTTTATACTACAGGGCTCCGGGACATCGGCAGGTCTGGCAGCCTGCAAACGTCCTAAACCTCTGCAGTAGGATGGGTGAGATCTCAGGACCCTTCTTTCCAAGGGCAGCAACAGTGCCCCGAATGTGTGAGCTGGCCGTCATCGGTGCTCCACACCTGATAGGTAGTGGAATTACTTTTGCTGGTGCCTTAAACAAGTTGCTTCCCATTTCTCTTTCTTTTCCCTCATAGGCCAGTGAGATTAACGAGAAATGGAAGACTATGTAGTGTGAAATGAGTGACCACCACCACCCACATCAATAAAATTGAATTTCAAAAACAGAATTTGAGGTTATAAAAAAGCAAAGGACAGAAGAATACATGTCATATTTCTATTTGTAATTAGCTGAAAGCCATTTTGGCAGTAGTTCTCAGAGCACATGGTCCAACAGCAAGAACATGACCCTGAGGAATCACTAGTTTCAGATTTGTATCCTCACTCCAGCCCCACTAAATCAGAACCTCTGGGCTGGCGTGTAACATGTCAGGCGGTACTGACACAAATCAAAGTTTGATCAACAAATTTAGGGAAACAGACATACATAGAGATAAAAGAATGATTAACTCAGAAGTTCAGGGAACTAGTCAACTCTTAGGAGAGAGCAGGCGGGTGTAAGAGGGAAACTCGTGTGGGGGATTTCAGCAGGTACTAGAGATGGAGGCGTTTCCCTTTACTAAGCTACACCTATACTTGAGTTTTCCGATGCCTATATTGGAAATATCCTAATTGCTATAACCTGCTTCTTCTGATCTGCACTTTTCAGTCCTCTGCCTCTGAAGTTCCAAGCAGGGCATTTATTATTAGACACTAAAGAAACAAAGAAATCAAAATAGTGTGATGTGCTGCGTTTGTAATGTCAAACAAATGGCTAGTTAAACTTTAAATTGCACCTACTCAATGGGAACTGATCTTGACAGGGAGCTGGGCAATAAACCTGAGAAATGTTGATAGCAAAAGCCATAGGATTACAATTTATAATATCAGTTTTTAGTACCATGCAGCTGTTGAACAAAAACACGCAGTTTGCTAGCTCTCTTGCACCTCTTGATTCTTTTTCCTAGGGTATGTCATCAGCCTTCAGTCTAACGTCTCCTTGGAAAGGACATCCCTAAGTCTGCCCCATTAATAACATATTTAATAATATATTTTGTTTGTTTCTGAGACAGGGTCTCAATACGTACATCAGGCTGGCTTGAACTCCAGGTGACCCTCCTGCCTCAGCCCCCCAAGTGCTGGGATTCCAAGTGTGTGCCACCACACCTGGTGACTCTTTTCTTTATGGCACCTTTCATGCTTATAATTATGTGTTCCTAAAGGGTTCTCTCTCACCATGGCTCTACTGTCAATCACAAGGTTTGCTAACAGACACTGATGCACTTCTGCGGTGAGTGAATGGATGTACAATCCATCTGCACTTCTGACCTCTTCTTTCTTTCCTCAGTCAAGAAAACTTGTGCCAGAGCCATCTGAAGCCAGATCATACGTAAAAAGTCAGGCTCAGGATATGTAAATATTACACAAATTTGGAAGTGAAGTTCTGTGTTGCTGTTGACTACAGCCTCACATCTGAGAAATGGAAAAGTTGGGTTTCGCAGTAACCTCACAAACAAAACTGAAGACAGCTCTCTGCTCCACCAGAGGCTGCTGCCACGCACTGTCTCCCGGGATGACTTCTAGTCTGGACATAACCCAGTTGCGCAAGTATGCGATGGTGACAGAGCCGTCTGTGATGCTGTGGGAAGACGGCACCAGGAGGGGTGTCAGCACAAGCGAGAACAACAGGGGTAAAAAGGTGCATATTGGGCTGAGCAGTTCCTCTAAGCAGCAAAGGCAGAGAGCTGATGGTTTTAAAGACAGCCACAAGCATCTAGGACAGGTAGAGACCTACATATTTACTACAGAGTAAGCACGATCGCTTGGAAGTGTTTTTTAGTATACTTGACTCTTCAGGGGGAACTTAGAACTATCACTCTGCAACATTTCATTGAGAAGCCTTTGATCATGGTTTGGAGTCCCTGCCACCAAACTACTTTACCATTTCAAGAATATATTATAATTACTCTCCAATCCAAAGCAAGCCCCCTGATCATTCTGTATTTCTTTTCACAAACCAAGTGTCTAAATAGCGAGATGACTACATGTAACTCCTCTTTCCCACCTCTCTTTAAGAGATGTTCCTCTACTTACAGAATTGAAGGTACTCATATTTCCTTGGTTCTTAATAAGGAAATAAGAATCCATTAAAACTTTTTAACAATTCAAGTCATTTCACAAATATTATTAAGCAGGTAGCAAGCCAGTCTTAGGCCAATACATCACACAGATTCTGTTACACCTAGAAAACAATAGTTGGTTTGTAAGATAATTATATTGCCTGATGACATCATGGCATTCTATGTATTAGAAATACAAGCGTCATCATGATAGTCTAAACATCATCTTGTGTGAGACTGGAAAGAGATCAAATCCTTAAAGATGGTTTTTCATCATGACAGATTAGTTAATACTTAGGCTGGGGGATAAGTTTAGGCGCCAACCCTGTGGTACGAATTCCAGATGCAATGGGGACTAACAAAACGGAGTAGAGACAGTGCTGGCTAGAATGACTGCGGAGGACTGCATCGCAGATCTCAGTATCTCAGACAGACACCGGAAGCTGAGTGTGTCAAGTGGCTAGGAGGGGAGGGGAATTCAGAGCCAACAGGAATAAAGGCACAAAGTGACTTCAGGCACTTAAGAGCTCTCAGTCTTAAGAAAATAACCTAATGACTATGTTCCTTGCTTCCTGTGTGAGTGTGATGTTAACAGCGTGCACCTCACAGGATTGTTGGGAAGCCTACACAGGCTAGTGTACATTAAGCATCTAGAAAAGTGCCTGGCACAGTAAGAGTGGGTCTGGAGAGGCCAGCACAAAGCATTCGGCATGGAAGTGAATCACAGAGACAAGACTGGCCAAGGGAAACAGAATGAATGAGGGGAAGGAGTCTAAAAAGTCGCCAAGAATTCTTGACCAGAATTTCCAAGAATGTGCAAATGACTCTCACTGACTGCGTTTTCAGGGCCCAGCTTCGTTCTAGCGCTGGGAATACAATGTGCAACACAGCTAAGTCACAATACTTACTAAAATTACATTCTGTGGAGGAGATGGTAGAGAGAGATAGGAAAAAACAAAAGAATGGAAGGAAGGACGACGTATCAGGAGGCAGTGAGCGGCACGAAGGGACTGGTGTGTCAGCAGATAACTGTACTGGATGGTGTAGTTAAACGTCTGAGGAGGTGGCCCGGCACCGAGGCCGTGAATGCCCGGAAGTTACTGGCTTTGTAAAGGCCTACAGTGAGAGCTCTGCAGCGCCTAGTTCCCATGGTCAGAACGAGCCCGGCAGGGCCAAGGGATGGCACTGTGAACCTCCAGGACAGAGGTGAGGATACACTATTTCTCACATTCACTCTAAAAATCAGACCTTTTCTTCAGAGAGCATCTCACTGGAGTGATATAATTAAAAAGTACTTTAGGACACTGTTGAACTGAGGGTAGAATTTAGGGTTCCCGGGTAAGGCTGGTGTGAGAAATAAAAATGAAGTATTTGGGAAGGAGAAGCACCAGGAAAGAAAAGCAAGTTTCTGAGGTGAAGCTTGGGCAGCTGAATTTGTTTTTCTATAAAACCTACTGTGCTGGGGCTCAGTGTAAGGTAGTTCCGGGTTCACAGCCCCAAATGGCCCTTGCTTGTGAGAAATGAAGAACAGAAACTCATGAAGAAATAAAACGAGTCATCTGGTGACAAAGAGATTCTGTCCATGATGGCTTGTACAGTTTTTAAAAGAATGTTTATTCCAAGTAAATTTTTACCAAAACCTCACAACATTCCTCACAAAAATCCATACTCAGAGGCTGACCTTCACTAGTAAACAATTCAACTGGCCTCCTACCCTTATGCCTCAGTGTATAAAGGCTCAGCCCAGCTGCGCCAAACACACCACCGATCTGTTTATGCTGACTTTAACAGTAAGTCATTCGCCATTGAAAAGTAATATTCATGTGGTCGGATGAACACACACACACACACACACACACATGCATCTGGAAAGTAAAACTGTCCACATCTGACCACTTCCAAATCCCAGGAGGTTATTTTAAAAAATTTTTGGCTACTGAATAATCTTGAATAATCCTTCCCCGGAGGTAGTACTCTAGGTCAATTCTGTCGGTATACTTCAGAAACTCAAATATCCGGAGTACAACACTGATTTAAGAGATCAGATGCCTGTGCGGCATCTTTAAAAACCGCTAACGGCTCTGTAACTGTGTTCTCAGTTCAGTGATATCTGAAGGTAACTAAATTCCCGAAAAATTCCGCGTGAGCAAACTCCCTAACATGTTAGCATTTAGGCGTCGCCTCTATTCCGATACTAGGTTCCCTTCACAGCACCTTCTGTGAGAGCAAAATGACGGAGGTGGGTGGGCTACAGCAACCTGCTCACTCTTCACAGCTCGGGACAGCGGCGCATGACTGAGCCCATGTGCCCCTGCGCAGCCCCAGGGAGGAGATGTTTCCGCAGAATCTTCACTCAGGCTCTGCGGACCCCAGAGGCCCTGCCGCCTGATCTGGGAAATACTTGCCCAGGACAACAGGATCCAGCTTTACGTGGAATCCTCTGAAATACCAGACCTTAGTAAGCCCCATAGCCAGAGCCCAGGAACGCCCTGTGTGTCTCTGCTGCCTACTGGAGGATGGCAGGGCTCCCACCCGGCTGTCTGCCTGCAAGACAAGAGAAAGACAGCAATAGTAGGACGTCTGCAAAGTCCAGCGCCCCTTTAGTCTGTTGGGTGCTTTGTTGGGCTCAAATTTGCGATCCTCCTGCCTCAGTCTCCCAGAGCGCTTGGATGACAGGCACGTGTCATCACGCCTGTTTGGTTCTTTTTTTATTGGTCGCTATATTGAACTAATGTTTTGACTTGAAAACTGCCTAAAATGCCCTGTACAACTAAATCTGCTACAAATTTTTCCCCTGAGACTCAGGGGGTTTGGTTTTATTGCTTCTCCAACAGTTTTCTTTAATCAACAAATATTAGACATTGTGTTTATTATAGGCAGTTGATCTCCACTACACTCAAGGCTGGTCCCCTTCTTTTCTCAAGCTTATTCTAGAATAGTGGGAAATCCCTTTACTTCTGGAGTGTAGAAAGATGACAGTGTTCCTTACCTGGTTCCCTCTAGTCAAGGGAAAGAGAGCTACGTTGAATTAAAGCTCTCAGTACCTCCACTAAAAGCTCCTAGTGACAAAAGTAGGGTAAAAATTCATGCCAAAGCCCCACTTATGCAAAAGATGCAATTAAGAGATGCTCTCGCCAGCAGGGGGGGCACTCTCTGAGGAGAAGACTCCGCCTGCGGAGGTGGGCAGAGGATGCAGGGCCTGATTCTCTGAGAGTGAAGGGATGCGATTCACTCTTTAGACCTGGTATCACCACTCAGCGACCAGCACAGGCAGAAATGCTACCCTACACCTGCGTGGTAGGGCCCACTCTGGATTCCAGGCATCTTCTCGGGCTGTTACGTATGGAGAAACAGCAGTACAACAGTGGACGCTGTCAGATGGACACTCAGCAATACCTCGAAGTTATAAATGTACTAGCAGATGTCTAGGGCACGTCTTCCTCATGGCCTCCATCTGAAAAGATTCCATCAACATTTGTATCTGCTGGAGACGCTGAGGAGGGAGATGCTCCTCCACCGGTGACCCCAGTAGCTGTCGGGCGGAACGTTACCACCTGCACACAGACACTCGAAGAACTGGATGTGAAATTCCCCGCTCTGCAGCCAGCCAACTGCACTGCTGCGGTCAGCCCAGTCTTTTTGCCTTCTTGGCTTGGTGCCTTGTTACCTATCTTGAGCCCTGCTGTCCAGACACTTGAGAAACAGAACCTTAGCTCTACGGACTACTCAGCATCAGCACATACCGCACACCAGCTTTACTGCCTCCAGATTAAAGGAAGAACGATGCAAAACACACAAGGAGAATCAACCAAAGGTTTGCAGTTGATAATTAGGAAGACAGATATCTGAAAATGAAGTTTGAGATTTTGGTGAAAGGCAGGCCAAACTCTAATGAAGTTTTGCTTCAATTTGTCATTCCTAATCAATCCCCATTTGCTAGCACTTACAATCTGACAATAACTGGCAGTGCCTACAAGTTCAAGGACCCCAATTAGTCATAGCAGCCTTAAAGGGACGCTTGATTTTTGCCAAATTATTTAGATTATTAAGAAGGATAAATAGTGACATTTTTTGCCTTTAATTCAGATTGCAAAGGATGGATCCCACAATATGCCAGAGGAAAAAAATGTTTCAACTGACACATTATCAAACCAAAGGAATGAATTCTTCAAGTGCGGGTGACTTAGCAACAGGGAAATTCCTTCAAGACAAGAGGGTGACCGTATAATGCTGGCCTGCTGGGCTGCTGCAGAGCTAAAAGTCTGCAGCCTGGTAGACAGCTTTGGTCACGCTGCCTTCTTTTTGGTCTAGTTTTCCACAGCTGCAATCAGCATGACTTCTCCATTAATTTTTAAGACGTGTCCCTTTTGGGACCCTTCCGTGGTAACAGTGATGCACTATTTTGGCTTCACAGAATGAATAACTGATGGTGACAGGAAGCAAGTGCTCCTGTTACTTGAGGTAAGCCCTTAAAACTCGTCACCCTCTTAAGAGTGTCCGAGTGAAAGATCAGAATAAAGCCCTCTTCCTGCTTGCGAGGGTGAAAGGCCCGACCACCCAATGCCTTCGGAAGGCTGATCTTCTATGAAATTTTATGTGGGAAGTATTGGAACAGGTCACTATCCAGTACTTACCTTCCCGGGAAACACAATTTGGTACCATTGCAGTGAGAGAACTGCCATGTAACAAACTTCCGCTTGCAAACCTACCTAATAGTTGCAAACTGACAAGCCCATTGAGTGGACTTTCAACAGAAACGCATTACCACATCGTTACCGTACAGATTCCCCTCCTCTCCTTACTTATTTACATCTCCATCTGACTACGCTTTCTCCAGTAAGGATTTAAGAAGCCAGATCTCAAACATACGATTCATGTCATCAACATTCAGAAAACGCCCAGCAAAACAAAGCTAACGGAAGCGCCCGATCCACCTATCAGGGTCAGATGCAGCGGTGCTTGCTGTTAACACTGGAACGGCATTAGTTCACCCCAGTGATAGGAAACACTACAAGTGTATGAAAATAAATTGAATTTGCAAGTCGTCTCAATTTTATTCTTTAGCTGAGTTTCTTTCTTTCCCCTCTCAACAATAATGGGCTTCTGACAAACTCTGAAGCAGGATTTCTGCAGCAAGAGTTGAGACATGGGTACTGCCTTGACCTCTGCCAGCGCTTACCCACTTTTGAAATCTTTGGCAAAATGAGTAAGTGCTAGCTTTCACTCATTTTCCTCTTCAATGGACTATGCCAAACACCTGTAGGATATATTTCTTTGGAAGGTTTTACTGCGCCTTTGTAGGTTTTATCTTCAATGAGTTTCTATTTCACAGAGTTCATAGAAAGCCAGGAGCGGTATAGTCCTAGCTACTCAGGAGTCTGAGGCTGGAGAACCACTTGAGCCAGGAGTGTGAGGCAGCCTGGGCCACAAAGACAGGCTGTATCTCAAAAAACATACGAACAAACAAATAAAAAATCACAGGACTTCCATCATGAAGTCAGGAGAGACAGATATTAGACAATCTGCAAATAGAAACACTGGGCAGAGAGGAGTCCTGCAAATTTACCTACAGATCATTGTTGGCCGGGGACAGAATTGGTACGATCATTTCTCACTAAACTATATGCATCCCCATTTATTTGGGAAAAAAAAAAAAAAAAAAAGGTATTTTCCATCTTCCAAACAAAAAGTTGTATTGGGAATTGAGCCCAGGGTCTTCACAATGACCTACATCCTTAGACCTTTTTGTTTTAATTTTATTTTATTATTGTATTTTGATGCAGGGTCTCACAAAGTTTACCAGACTGAGCTCGAACTTTCAATACTCCTGCCTCAGCCTCGCAGAGTGCTGGGGTTACACTTTCGTGTGTACTAGCGCCAAACTTCCACATCCGCTGTCATGCGGAGCAGAAATGTTAAGAATCACAGTTTGGTGGTGAAAGCACGAATTTTGGAGTGCGACATGGATTCAGATCTGAGTTTAATGGCCATGTGACCTTGAGTAGATTATTTAACTACTAGAATGCGAGACAGTGTTCTCTCTTAGGAATGTTGTATCAACTGAAATAATATTCCAGAATTGTTTGGCTCAATGCCTGCCCAATGGTAGCTGAGACTGTTGTCATAATTACTGAGGAGCATGCAAAGATTTTGAGTACTTGAGCATCTTATATTTAATTCACAGGAAAAGTGTTGATCTTGCTAATGGTAAGGAAATTATGCAGTAACAGCTGTTAAAGCTGCTGTGATCGTTTAAAATCAGACGGAGAAAAGTAGGTAAAATTTTACACCGGGACTCCTGGGTTGGGGATGAGGTTTTTATATACTCATTTATACATTTTGGCCGAGCTAGGAATTGAACGCAGGGGCTTTGCATTGAGCTTCATCCCCAGCGCCCCTCCACTTTTGAGACACAGCCTCCCTAAACTGCCCAGGCCGGGTTGGAACTTGCGATCCTCCTGCCTCAGCCTCCCAGGCTGCTGGGATGAGAGGCGTGCGCCACCAGGCCTGGCACGCGGGTGTGCCCGTGCAGGAGCGCGGGGCCGGGACGGTGGTCACTCACGCGGGGGTGACGCCCTTGGGCAGCCCCAAGGCGTTGACGGCCACGGGCGGCGGCTGCGAGGGCAGCAGGGCGCTGAGGAAGGCGGCGGGCGTCGGGCCGGGGCGCGCGGCGGGGGGGGGAGGATGGATCCCACAATATGCCAGAGGAAAAAAATGTTTCAACTGACACATTATCAAACCAAAGGAATGAATTCTTCAAGTGCGGGTGACTTAGCAACAGGGAAATTCCTTCAAGACAAGAGGGTGACCGTATAATGCTGGCCTGCTGGGCTGCTGCAGAGCTAAAAGTCTGCAGCCTGGTAGACAGCTTTGGTCACGCTGCCTTCTTTTTGGTCTAGTTTTCCACAGCTGCAATCAGCATGACTTCTCCATTAATTTTTAAGACATGTCCCTTTTGGGACCCTTCCGTGGTAACAGTGATGCACTATTTTGGCTTCACAGAATGAATAACTGATGGTGACAGGAAGCAAGTGCTCCTGTTACTTGAGGTAAGCCCTTAAAACTCGTCACCCTCTTAAGAGTGTCCGAGTGAAAGATCAGAATAAAGCCTTCTTCCTGCTTGCGAGGGTGAAAGGCCCGACCACCCAATGCCTTCGGAAGGCTGATCTTCTATGAAATTTTATGTGGGAAGTATCGGAACAGGTCACTATCCAGTACTTACCTTCCCGGGAAACACAATTTGGTACCATTGCAGTGAGAGAACTGCCATGTAACAAACTTCCGCTTGCAAATCTACGTAATAGTTGCAAACTGACAAGCCCATTGAGTGGACTTTCAACAGAAACGCATTACCACATCGTTACCGTACAGATTCCCCTCCTCTCCTTACTTATTTACATCTCCATCTGACTACGCTTTCTCCAGTAAGGATTTAAGAAGCCAGATCTCAAACATACGATTCATGTCATCAACATTCAGAAAACGCCCAGCAAAACAAAGCTAACGGAAGCGCCCGATCCACCTATCAGGGTCAGATGCAGCAGTGCTTGCTGTTAACGCTGGAACGGCATTAGTTCACCCCAGTGATAGGAAACACTACAAGTGTATGAAAATAAATTGAATTTGCAAGTCGTCTCAATTTTATTCTTTAGCTGAGTTTCTTTCTTTCCCCTCTCAACAATAATGGGCTTCTGACAAACTCTGAAGCAGGATTTCTGCAGCAAGAGTTGAGACATGGGTACTGCCTTGACCTCTGCCAGCGCTTACCCACTTTTGAAATCTTTGGCAAAATGAGTAAGTGCTAGCTTTCACTCATTTTCCTCTTCAATGGACTATGCCAAACACCTGTAGGATATATTTCTTTGGAAGGTTTTACTGCGCCTTTGTAGGTTTTATCTTCAATGAGTTTCTATTTCACAGAGTTCATAGAAAGCCAGGAGCGGTATAGTCCTAGCTACTCAGGAGTCTGAGGCTGGAGAACCACTTGAGCCAGGAGTGTGAGGCAGCCTGGGCCACAAAGACAGGCTGTATCTCAAAAAACATACGAACAAACAAATAAAAAATCACAGGACTTCCATCATGAAGTCAGGAGAGACAGATATTAGACAATCTGCAAATAGAAACACTGGGCAGAGAGGAGTCCTGCAAATTTACCTACAGATCATTGTTGGCCGGGGACAGAATTGGTACGATCATTTCTCACTAAACTATATGCATCCCCATTTATTTGGGAAAAAAAAAAAAAAAAA